CGCCTCCGCCATGTGAGGCGGCGGGGCCGCCAGCCGCGCCCGCTGCCCTGCCCCGCCGCACCATGAGGGCAGGGGACGCGGGGCAGCAGCCGCGGCGCAGGCAGGTAGAGCCCCGACGGCTGCTCCGCCTCCTCTCCTGCGTGATCCTCGTGTGCAGCGCGGAGATCGCGGCGCTCGCCGACTTCGCAGGTACCGCGCGGGCACCGACGGCGGCCGCCGCGCGCCCAACGGCCGCGTAACGGCCGCCCAACGGCCGCCGGGAGCGGTCGCGGAGGGGGTCGCGCGCACCCAACGGCCGCCGGGAGCGGTCGCGGGGGGGGTCGCGCGCACCCAACGGCCGCCCAACGGCCGCCGGGGACTGGAGGAGAGGGGGGCGAGTGCGCCCAACGGCCATCGAAAGACTCTTAACATTTACCTTAACCTTTAACTTTACCCAAGAGCCGTTCGAGTGCCCCGGTGTAAAGTTAATCTATGATTGCCAATGCAAATATGTTGTTATGCCTATTAATACAGTACATATTAAGCAGAGGCTCTGTGGAGACTAGATGCGTTTTCTCAGCAGTTGGTAGATACAGGTTTTGGTATGGGGTCAAGCTTCGTAAATCTTAGCATTTCTAAAGAAGTCAGCCRTCAAATGTGAAGAGCAGAATTATATACGCAGATAAACCATGTTTCTCCTATTAGATTCCTTTCGCATGTAAAAGGCTTTTAAATGTTTCTTATCTCATTCTTTGGGTTTTTTTTGGCTTAACTCCCAGTTGGTAGGTAGTCATTTTGGAATTACGTGGCAATTCTCCACAAGAAAATATAAGAAAGTTCAGTTTTTCCTTTTCAGATAGCCACTGAGTTAAAAACTGTCCTTCAAGTTTATCTAGGAAAGTTCATCACACAGAAGTCAGTTCACATTTAAAATGAAGTTATTATGTAAGGAAATCCAAGATAATTTTTAAAGTACAGATGTATTGACTTTTTAATTGCTCACTGAGCTTTTCAAATAGCTGGAAACACCAAAGACAAGTTCTGCATCTCACCTCAGATACCAGCATTAAAAAAGTCTTGCCGGCAATTCAGTAAATAAAATGTAGAAAAGCAGATTAGATTCCAAAATTGATGCCAGTCCAGACTGGGAAAGTTTCAAGGCCTTAAGAGATTCTGGTCCTATTCTTTTTTGTTTTTAGCATGGGGGTGCCATCCAGAGTGACAGTGAAGACCAAAATGTTCCTGGAGCCTTTTAAGGAAGGTTCCCAGAACACGCCGAGAAGTTTTCAGCGTTTTCGGGAGCGGGGAAGCGCGGGGCAGGTGCGGCCGGAGCTGTCAGAGGAAAGCTGACACGCTGAAATGCCGCCCTGCCTCCCTTTAAAAGTGATAAAGGATCACAAGAGGCTCTGCAGCGTCAAGCCCCGAGCTCCCGAAGCTGCTAAATTTCCTTCTCTGCTCCCCCCCTCGGCGGGAACAGCGACTTGATTTTCATAAGCTTCGTTGCGTTTACATGAAAACAACTCTGCCCCGTTTAAAGGGGCAGCTCGCTGCAGCTGCCAAGACGCCCGCAGCTCCTTCGGCTTGCTCACGGGGAGGTGACAGACAGGGAGCCGGGTCCCCCGCTTTGCCGACTGCGCCCACATTCCCCGTTCGGAAGAGGCTCGAGTCGGGCTTGGCTGTGCTTTTCCTTTCAAAGACAGTGTCGCAGCAAGGAGCACGGAGGTCAGGACTGTCAACATGCTCTGTACAATGTGGTCAGGCACTGAGAGTTTAGGAGTGCAGGCAGGATTGGAAGGAAAGCGTCCGAAGCTTCTCTTGACAGATTGTGGGCTTTTATACTCAGATTATCAGGTGCATACTTTCTTGGGTCATTGCTTTTTCTGCTCTGTGTGTTTCCAGCATCAGATCTCTACCTCAGCAGCCCAAACTGTTCCACTCTCTCCCTTTTCCTTCTCTCTCTCCTCCTCCCTCTCCTGTTCTCACAGCTTTCTCTATGCACCTCCCAGCCTGCTGCGAGACCATGCTTGTGACAACTCTTCACGTATATTTTTTTTGCTCTCTTAATACGAACATATTAAATGGTGCTGCCAATTGCAACCTGCCTAGCGTCCGTCTCCTAGTCACAAGACCTAACTGCTTCTCATAGAGCAGCCGTCACTCCTGTTTGGATTTGCGTGCTGTTTCTCAAGTAGGGAGCAGGAAGTAGTATAAGTAGTTGGTGAAGGATTGTTCTTTTTATTCCTTTTGTTCTGTTGTTTATTTTTTTTTAATGTTTGAGTTGTATTTATTTTCCTGTAGACTGTAGTATTTTTATTGGATCACTTCACAGACCAGAAGCAGTGAGACCTGTACAGGATGTATCCCTGCCTTTTCATAAGGGATAGGTTGGCAGCTCTGCCTGTGAGTTGAATCTATCCATTTGATTATCACAGGTCTGTTATCATTATGGTCTTGCTATTACTCTTGCACATTTAGGATATATAGCTGCAGGTTCTTCTTCTCATGTTTCTCAGTCCTGCTCTCAAATACAGGAAGGTGGGTTGTTGGGGTTTTTTTTTTTTTTTTTTTTTTTTGGCGACATTTCTTTATTGTGCAATAGCATTTTATGTGAGTAATAATATTTTTCTAGGAAAAAAAATGCTCTGAGACAAGACTCCAGCTGCAGAGCTCTAAATCTTATAGCTGTGTGAAAAGGATTCTGTAATTAGTTTCTCCTTTTAGTAACGGGAGATATTTGAGGTAAAGTAATGTTGATATGCAAGATACTTAAAGATTCTTGCGATCTATTCTTCTCTAGCAGTTTGGTGACAGCAAAGAACATATGTATCAATTGTAATAGGTACTGAGAGTAGAGGTTTGGCTTAAGGTCTGCTGTCTTCAATTTGATTCATTTTTTTTATAGTGGAAATGAATGCATGTATTTCCAGGTTCAAAAATGAAAGTTGGACGTTTGAAATAAGAGAAAAAGACTTAATGCACAGTTCTCTCATCTTCATGCAGATCGGTGTAGTCTCACAGCTTCCTCTCTCAGAGGACCTCTCTATTCTTCAGAGGACCTCTACAATCGTTTTCCACCRGAATTGCTAGACATGTTCGCAGTTGTGCTCCTGCTTGACAAAGCTCTGTCCTCGTGTTGTTTTTATCAGTGATCACTTGGAACTTGCACATTTCAGATGAGGTCCCAGTCTGGGGGACTGAAGGCTACTGTTGGTTTTGCTCACTCTGACAGCCAAAATCCCAATTATTCTGAGCTGCCAGGAGAGTATCAAAATTGAAGGCACATTTTTTTTTTTTTTTTTTTGAGAAATGAAAGCCAAGGCTGTCAAGATGCAATTCTTTCACAGCTCTTCTGCACTCAAGGGTTCTTTCGCAATACAGGCAAAAAAGAGATTTTACTTTCTGGCCAGCAAACTTTGTGCTGATACTGTAGAAAGGCTGCCACTGCCCAGGAACGGGTTGGTGTGCTGGAAGGGGCTGGTGGCAGTTGTTGTTCAGAAGGGTGTCCCTTCCCAACAGCAGCAGTCACAGCTCCCTCATTTCATCCTCCTGCCCTTCTTGCCCTTTTGGGAACACATTCCTTGTCACCTGCAAGGTGCAGGAACATCCTCTCATCTTTGCTTGTATTCACTTAGAAGTATTTTGCCTCCTTTCTTTCTCCTCTTCTTCTCTCCATGCCTGCTTTCAGCTTGGTCTTGTGTTTGAAGTGGCCTCCTTCGCTCAGTTTGCCAGTCTTTCTCCCAGTCTTTACCATGGTCCCAGCCAGATTTTCTGGACAGCCTTCAGGAAACAAGTCTGTAAGGGAAGACCCAAAGTGAAGTAACTGAGTGATTGCATAACTGGGCTGGAGAATGACTGTGTATATGAGCAGAAAGAGTGGGCCACAGTGTATTCTTTTTCCAGAACAATTCGGGCAGAATTAGACAATGTTTTCACTCCATAGGCTTGGTCTTCTGACCCAAGAATAGAGAACAAAGGGATCTAATGAAAAAGCAAACGAATTCATCCAAGAAATATAATCTGATCTTGTGGCCTTTTTGCATTAGAAGTTTCCATTAATTTTTGTGGCATTACCCATTCCAGATTTCCTGAGGCAACAGGAAGTCAAGCAAATGCTTGGAGCAAATGCTATGTTTGTTATAACGTGGCAGGATCAATCATGACCAACCACAAGGATGCCAAGAGTTTTTTGTTGGTTTTGTGTTGGTCAGATAAAATCCTGTATGAATTTGCTTGAGTCGGTTCTGTTGACTCATTGTGGCAAGTGGAGCTTGTCCTTCAACTGAGATATTTAAAGAGGTGCTAAAAGAAGTGATGTCAATGATGCATTTCCTTGATACCGGCTTGTAAATGTCAAAAGCAAATCCTGCTTGCTTTGTTTAAAGAAAAACATTTCATTTTTAGAAACATGTTGCACTTCAGTTATATGGGAACCAAACCTCACAGTCTGAGTTAAAGTCTCTCAAAACTGGGTTTTATTCTGGGATTTGTTCTGCAGAGTAAAGAAGTATGTCAGAAGTGACATTTCAGTTTAAGTCATATTGTTCAGACCCATCTCTGCTATTCTATCGGCTTTCCTAAAGAAGTGCAGATTATGAAATCTCAKTCTTACATGTGATTTTTCCTTAATAATTTGATGAATAACAATAATAAACGATGAATAACAACATGATGAATACATATTAACTGTCGAATGCAATTTCAATCATCCCTGTTAGAGGGGAAAGGGCCTTGGTTCTGCTAAGTTACTATGCATCTCATGAGAGCAAGCAGCTAGGACCTATCAGCATCCCCATGAAAAGAGCCTGCCCCAAAAGCTGTCTTAAAAGCTACTTAATTTAATGACTTAATTTGATGCTTCCTCCTCACCCTGTTCTAGAGAGAATCCAGCTGGGACACCTAAGCTCATAGGAATCCTGACGTCCAGGGCTATATTGCTCAGAGGCCAATGTGTTTGAGTCTGTCTGTCTTAGACCTTTGGGGCAGGAACTCCTTTTGTTCACAGCTGTGCGGATTGCCAGCACCTCACACATCACGCACAGTTTTGGTTCAAAATAAATAACAAGGATTAGCCCCTCCTGTCTTCCCGCTGTATCTGCCCCTGATACCATTTGGAGCTTCTGGGGCATCTCACCTTTATGAGAGAAAGCAGTTAGAGGCCTGTTCCAAATAAATGTCATGTTTTCATGGGAATGTTCCCCAGACAGAGACGA